GCCAAGAGTAAGGGAAAAAAAATACAAATCAAATGAGTAAAATTAAGAAAATTACTCATACTAATCAACAAATTGGTTTGATACAATTGGTTGATCAATTGATAATCAGGTAGACAAACATTTACAACAATCAAAAAACATCAAAATCAAATGAAAACAAAGGAAATAAATGAAGCAACAATCAACGGCAAAACTATTACATTAGCTGAATGTTATTTCAATTGGATTTTTGTTATTGTTCTGGATTAATGTGAATCGGTTTCGGGTTAATAGTTACAATATAACAACAATCAAAAGGACCAGACTAACAATGAAGATGATCAAGTTGATGACGATTAAGAAGATGATGAAGATTAAGAGAGAGAGAGAGAGAGATATTAGTTAAGATCACTTCCTATTCCTGTAGTGTATTAGAAGGGAAGAAATAAAAATCTATTCTTTCTCAATGATTTTGTCGATATCGAAAACACAATTAACGTTAATTGTTGTTATTTAATGTAATTGTATGATGGTGATCAACATGATGACCAATGATCATAATTAGCTAATAACTATAACAAATATACCGGAAATAATTTCATGACGACAGTGAAAGTTAATATATATATTTATTGAATTAATAGAAAGTAAAACTTAATTACTATTAATTGTACACCATTGAAATTGGATCAATCCGGTTATCGATTAGTTAATTATCATCTGTGAACCTTTTATTAGACTTAATCACTAAGATTAATCATGTTAATTTACAATCAAACTGGATGATTGTGTATATTTATATTTATCTTTACTACAATAATGATAATAATAATGCTAATTATAATTTTCAAATTTAATTAATCAGTGAATTTATATTAACAACAATTAAGTTTTTCTTTCTTTCTCTTGATTTCAACAATTTAATAAAACCTTTTCAATGCAAATTCAATGATTGACCTAATTCACATTGTAATATTAATGGATAACAATTAACTGTTAACAATCAATAAGCAATCAGTTAAATATTGTCACCATCATCACGTATGTGATTAATTGAGGTACGAGAAACAAATTGAAAATTAGTTAATTATCATCATCATCATCATCATAAGGTTGATTGGTTTAAATTGTTAACAATCAATTTTAATTTAGTAATTTCAATTACTTCTGTTCAGATAATATAATTTATCATGTTGTGAGGTTTTTAATTTTTCTTGTTGATTAATAGGCAACAATCAATTTTAATCACTCATCTGATTGTGTCCAGTTTGTAACTGTAGCAATTAAATAAATTAAAGTTTATTATAATAACTATGATACAAATACACACAAAACAGTTAACTATTAATAGTTAATTGTTACAGTTTAAATGATTTGCTGAAATCAAATTTTATATTATTGTTTCAGATTATAAATCTAACAATTAATTAGACGTTTACAATTAAAGGGACAAGGTTAATATTAGGATTGGCTAATTTTATATATATGAAAGTTAATTGTTACAACTAAATGATAAATGTTTTTTCACTGATTGTAATCAATAAAGGAAATACAATAAATCACAATTAAATAAAATGAAAAAGGTTGAGTGTTAATCATTGTGGCAGAAAAAAAAGTAAATTATCTCATTGGAAATGATTATTATTATCATTATCATTGATTGTCAAGACAATTAATCCATTGAATATACAAGATATTGAAACAATTAATTAGTAACCTTTGGAATTGCCCTCAAGGTATTAATTATAATAAGAAAGCAAATTCAATACAATCAACACAATTAAAGTAAATTTCAGTTTAACGTAAACAAAATGTTAATTTTAATCAAATAATAATCAACTTTTTGTGTTTTAAATTACGTTTCATTTGACCAACTGTATATGTTTTTGGTTAAATTTACTTAATTTTTGATTGTTTGGGCCATGATCCCAATAATTAGTTTTAATTGTTATCAAAAGGTTGACTACCCAACCAATCAGAATTAAAATAAAAACAACTAACAAAAAACCACTTATAGTAGGTTAATTGTAACGAAATTAATCATACCAAGAGTTTAAGATAAAATCTTTAATTTAATTTAGATCAATTCTAATTTGGTTTAACTACATATCATGGTTTTAAGGTGACAACAATTAAGCTGATTGTGAACCGGGTGACCCGTGATCATCTCAAGAATGGTTGGTCATAGAGAGAACTGAATTCGACGACAATCATGAGCCCCCATGATTCTGATATAAACTAATAACTTTTTCAGAATTTTCCAAGTTCACTTGCGACTAAAGTTCGCGCTCAAAGGTTCGAATCGCAGTTACTTCTATTCAGAACTCACAATGGTGAAAAACAAAGAACATTAGATGATAGAATGACTTTCGAATTTTAATATTTTCTCCCGAGTCGTCCGTTCGCTTTTCAGGCCACTCGGTTTTGTGCAGAGCCGAAAAAAAAACTCGAGCGTTTCTGGATCTTTCACCATTCGAATGCACTTTCTCAAAAGGTTGAGAACTTAAAGTTCATGAGAAACTCTGTCAATATCGGTGACCTGATAATATTTGATTATCTCTATCAACTAAATGTATCCCAAGTTGATTAAATTTAATTGTTGCCTGAAATAATTGATAGCAAACAAAAGTAAACTTTCATCATTAACAAGTTTCATATAATAATTTTCCTTTGTGCTTGAGGTCAACCAATTAACAATTTTATGAATTGAAACTAATTAATTGTAACAAATAATAAATAGCATTTAATTGTTTATCCATTATTAATCTTGATTAACCTAATTCCCGATTCTATTGTAAATCAATGTGTAAACAAGTGTTGTTGATGTTGATCAATTTATTATCTGATTAATTATGATAAACACTTTCCCTTTTTTTGTTCATCATCATCATCCTGATGATAAAATTGGTTACATGGTTGGTTAATAACCAACATGATCATCATCATGATAATCAGGAGATAATGTTGATTAATATAAATGAACATTACCAATTCTCTTTTGTTATAATAGTTGTAAGAAGATAATGATGATAATGATGATGAAGATAATTATGACCTGTTAACCCTTTCTCTTCAATCTATCATCACATTAACTTGGATTCTGTAAATTGGTTGGTTTTAACATGGAGAAAATCATGATAAGTTGATCATGGAAAAAGTTACTACAATTTCATTGAGAATTTCAATCATTTCTATCTATTGAGTTTGAGAATTTTTTCCCCTCTTTCCGCTGAGAATTCAGAGTGTGCTCTTCATGCTGATGATCAGTTGAGACCTGAAACTTAAAGTCCGTGAAAATATCAAAAGTCTTGTAATTATCTGGAATCATCTGAATGTAACTGTTTCTGATAACCATGTAATAGATTGAGTAAAGATAGAAAAGTAAGAAATTCTGAAGAAAAAAATTGTGATTCAATTTTTGGTTCATTGATTTGTTGCTACTATTGTTTTTCAGAACAAAATCTCTTCACCATGGTAATGATTCCATGAAACTCGGCTCACGAACAATTTCCTTCCTTTAACTTGCCCAAATTGTGTCCTCATCATCATGGGAGGTGAAACATATTACATGATCATCATCATCATCATCATCACATTTTCTTGGCCACGCTTCATCTTCAACTCCATCATGAAATCAGCTGAATTTGGAATCTTGATTCTTGAAATCGAGTGACAATAATATCTAATCATCAGATAATTTTCATCAAATGGAACAACAAAATACTTGGTAAATCATTCAAGATGATTAATCGTAAAGTTAATCATGATTAAAGTCAAGTGAAAGTGAAATGTTAATCATGATGATTAATTGTTTGAATAAAGTTTGTTATTAATATTAATAAATTGTTGTTTATTGCTTGTTGATATTTGAATAAGCACAATTATTACTTGATTGTTGATCAATACTAAAAGATGAAGATGATTAAATAGGTTGCAGAACAATTTATAGTTAGCAAATTGAGAGATTCATTTTTAACAAGAAAATCAATAGCAATCAAATTTTGATTGTTTCATTGATTGTCATCATCAAATTTTCTTTAAATTAATTGCTTAACATTGTACATAATGAACAATTGATGAAACATTTAGTTAGTATTTAGTTCCTGATCAACAAGATGATGATGATGATTAATTTATTAGTTTGTCACAATCAAGAGCAAGAAAAAAAAATGAATGATAATATCTCTTTATATTCATCTTCAGCTACTCCCACCCTATCTTCCTCCCACCCTCCGCATCTCTCTCTCTCTCTCTCTCTCTCTCTCTCTCTCTCTCTAAATGCTCCAACGCCTTTTGTAAATCACTTTCATCATCTTCATCTTCTTCAAACTAATCAACCATGTCAATCTTACCTTTTTTGAAGATGATAAGAAAGACAATACTGGAAGATAAGGATGATAAAGAGAAAAGAAAGAAAAAGAGAGGATGTAAAATGATGAAGATGCTAGAGAAAGATATAAACAAGAAATGGTTCATCGTTTTGTTGATTGTTGCGTGATCAAAATTGTGTGGTTAGTGTGTAGATGATAATGATGATTTCTGATTGCTTTTGATGTTTGAATAAACAATAACAATAAACATAAAACACTCACTCACTTTCTCGCTCTCTCTCTCTCTCTCAGTGTATAATCATAACCATTGCATCACAATATTGATCAATTAATCCGTGAGAAGATGCGTGCCAATGTATTCAAATGGATAACAACAACAATCATCAACTTAATTGTCCAATATCTTAATCATACATAATTTATGGATCAATAGAAATTAATTTAGATAAAATTAGATGAATTACTTTTTGTTTCGTTTAAAAATTGAGATCCAACGTTTCCTCTCATATTTAATATTAATCATCATCATATTATTGATTATAATGATAAGGAGATGATATTATTAGATAGATTTACCGTTAATTAGCATATTATTGTGATAATAATCAATAAAATGATCAAGAAAGAGTGAGACATAACAGTAATAATAACAATCAATTTAAATAATGAATGAAACATGTTTTCAATGAATTTTCTGTATGAACTTTTTTTTTCATTTGTATTATTATCAATTTAAATTGTTCACAATTCACATTTAACATTAATCAATTTAAAGCAAATTTTAAAAGTTTAGTCTAAATCAACTAACCTTTTTTTTGCTTCTTTTTTTGATTCAGCAGTCAAATTTGATTCTCAGCTGATAATGTTCATTTCAATCTTTGTTGATACAGTTACATGTATGTGCGTCTGTATTTCAATTCAGGATGAAAAAAATGAAGATGCAGATGATGATGAAGACGATGATGTGAGCATGATATTGTTGATGTTGGCTGAGGTGATGGTGTTGATGATGAAGATGATGATGAGAAAGAAGATGAAGATAAAGATGGGATAAAAGTGGGAGGAAAGAGAGTGAGAGAGAGAGAGAGACGTTGAATATAAATAATAATCTTAATGGTAGCAAGAATGAAGGAAAAACATAAAATGAAAATGGTTTCCTTGTAATTGTTGTTGCTTAATTGTTGTTAAAAAAAATTTGCTGTTAAGTGGTGGTGGCATTGGTTAAATTAAATAATTGTCTCTCCTCTATCTTGTCAATCAACTCTTTCTCCTCAACAATCAATTTAGCCTTTAATTGTATGAACCTAGTGAAAGAGTCAATATCTTCATTGGAATCCTTGAAATATTTAATTATTATCTTATCCAAAATTGTTTGACTTGTCCTATTAATTGATTGCTTCAATTCAAATGCTTCCTCTAATTGTCCAAGTAATTTATTTCGTTTCAATAAAAGTGATTCCAATTCGGGATGCGGATGAGAAAGGTGAGCTTGGTGATGATGTTGATTGTTGCATGTATTATCTTTGTTGTCCATCAAGGCAGAGGCTGAATTTGGAAAGGCTATTAATGTGGTTGTAGTTGTTGTTGATGATGATGATGAAGATGATGTTGTTGTTGTTGTTGTTATTGGTGGTGATGATGATAATAGGTGATGGTTATTATTATCATGATTGTTATTATCATTTGAAGTTTCAAGACATCCAGATGATGAAGAAGATGTTGAATTTTTGTTAACCAGTGATGATGAGGAACTGACAATGTCTTCACAACCATTATTATTGTTATTATTATTATTATCATTATGATTATTATTTGAAGCGGAAGTAAAAGTGATGTTATTACCCACTGTACCTCCGCCACCCATTATTGAAGTAGATTGATTTGTTGCTGTTGTTGTTGTTGTTGTGAGAGCCTTGTGATTTGATTTATTATTATTATAATAATTGTGAATAGTTGATTCAATTGATTTTAAGCGACTTGACAATGATAATAAAAGTCGAGTGACCTTTTCAATCTCTTCCAAATGAATTGCAATCTTTTCTGATTCAGGACAGGTAATCCCAAGGTGAGTTAACTTTTTGACCAGTTCTAAGCCCAATTTATTATTGGAAAGTATATCATTTGTTATTTGGCGATGGTCAACTCGAAGGCAGTTTAGGTGTTCAGAAGATAACTTTGGAATAATTTCATGAGGAGAAATGGTAGTATTTGAAATGGAAAGACGAGGAGAAGTTAAAGATGGAGATGATGGAGAAGGAGGAGATGGAGGTGTAGGTAGAGATGGAGCAGAAGTGACACGAGAATGACCACAAACTGCTCGAGTATCAGTAGTAGTATTATTATTATTTGAGTTTGCAGTGAGTGGTTGGCGTTGTTGTTGTTGTTGTTGTCGATGATGATATAAAGAGGCAGAAGTTGAGTCAATCAATAAAATATCAAGAGATGATGGAGATGAGGTTGGTGACAGTGAGCCACTACTGTAACCATCTGAAGAGGCCGCTGAACCAAATCCAGTAAACAGGGAAAACTAAAGGTAAACACACAGTGAGAAATAAGGAGAGAAAGAAAGAAAAGATGATGATGATGATGATGATGATAAAAAATTGATGTGAAAATTGTGAGAATGAAAAAGGAGATTACGGTTTTTTAATGGTTTCTGTTTATGCATTAATATCATTTTCTGCATAAAATGTAGAGTCTAATTAATGTGTCATTTGCAGACAATCAAGAAAATGATGGTATTTTGATTAGAGAGAGAAGTGGGAGTCTGAATGGGTGGAGTGAGTTTGGTCAATCAAATAAAGAAGAGTAAGTTAGTGTGTGTGTGTGAGAGAGAGAGAGATAAAAATAAGGGAGAGAAATGATCATAGCAATAATAATGATGATGAGGGAAGAGAACAATAAGAAAAAAAAAATAAGAGAGAAGATGAGATTGAGAAAAGTGAATGCAAAGTAATCATCTGCTGTACTTTAGATAAATAAGAAAATTAAATTGTTGGTCAATTGTTAGTAAATTGCAAACCTTTTTGATAATTGTAGCTTTACGAATTGATTTGGGCATTAAATTGTTAGTTATACGAGGACTTGGGACAAAAAGTGAATTATATAGAAACCAATATAAACACCAACCACATGTAAAGACAATGATGAAATAAGATATCATGATCAAGTGAAGATAAGGTTTAAGAAAGAAATAGGAAGATGATATGGATGATATAATAACGATGATGATGGACTTGATGATGTTTGATTGTTGATGATGGCAAAAGAATAGTAAAAAGTGTATATATAAATAGAAAAGATTTCGAGAAACGAAAGTAAAACTCTTGAAAGAACAGGAGAAGAAGAAGTAGAAATAGAAACAGAAAGTTCTATTACTTTTATTTCTTTTATCAATCAACAAGATGAAAAAGGAGGAAAAACTTTGACTCTGAATTTCATCTTCTTTTCATGGTATTAGGTGTGTTTACCTGGTAAACAGTTTCACATTGGTTATCATGGTATTAATCAGAATTTTGGAGCATCAGGAGACTTAGTAAATTGAATTAACAGGTTGTAGTGGCACTAAAAAGATGCTGATATTATTGTTATTGAAGATCTTTTTTTGGTGTATTATCACAAAAGGATGATGAATATGAACTAAGATGAAGATTAAACTACTGAATACCTCTGAAGGACACTGAGGTGAGAGATGATGTTAAATAAAAGGTAAGCATAAATGATGAATAAATAACAAAGGAAGAGAGAGAGAGAGAGAGAGAGAGAGAGATGGAAGTGTTTGAGAGGATTTTCAGGTGATTCAATCTTTCCCTCTTCTACTATTTATCAGAACAACATTGAAAGATCATGATGATAAATAAACAAGATGACAAAAGAACAGCAGATGATGATGATAACGATGGAAAATTGAGAATTAGAGTGGTAGGAATCAAGAGAAATGTAAAAGGGACTCAAAAGATGAAGAGAGAGAGAGAGAGAGAGAGAGAGAGAGAGACAGAGAGAGGGAGAGAGAGACAGAGAGATGATGATGATGATATTACTCTTTTCAAGAGTCTAGTAAGATTGTTTTTATTGTTATAACTAATGTTGTTGTAGTTATCATGTATTCACTTTGTAATGTTTGTCTATAGATGATAAAAGTAAAAGTGAAACTGAAACTCAAGTATAAACACATAGACATAGACATGGAGAGAGGGAGAGAGAGAGCAAGAGCAAGAGCAATAGCAAGAAAATGGACTTACATTTGAAAGATGAAAAATGTTGCATGATGATGATTTTTCAATTTTATGATTTTTAGGATGTTGAGGTGTACATGTTGTTGTAGTTGTTGTTGTAGTTGATGTTGTTGTTGGTGTTGGTGAATTAGTTGTTGTTGTCGTTGGTGGTGTTGTTGGGGTTGTTGGGGTCGTTGGTGCTGAGTGTTTATGTTGTTGCTGCTTCTTTTTAAGATAAAACTCAAGAACGGCTCTTTTTTGAATGGCCTTAAGATCATCTTTTCTTAATCCATTGGATGTTGGTGTTAAAGTTGAATGGTTGTTGTTGTTGGTTGTTGTTGTGGTTGATGTTACTGCTACTGTTGTTGGTGTTATTGGTGATTTTGTTGTTGTTGTTGTTGTTGTTGTTATTGTCGATAAGGCTGATGCTGAGTGATGACGACGATTATTATTACCAAAAGCACCTTTACACTTAACACTGGCTGGAACGGTGGAAATTGAATTGACCCAACAATTTGATTTTGGTGGTAATGGCGGAGGGGTTATTTTTGATGAGTGTCGCGGTGGAGGTGGTGGAGGTTGATCGGCCTGGTTTGGGTTATCCATGGACAAATAAGTAACTTTGTTATAGAAAAATTTCACTATTACAATTTGCAAACATTGTTGTTGATTTTTGTTCTAACTCAAGAAAAGGTAAAGATTGTCAAGATGGAATCAGAGACAAAGAGACAAAGAAAGAAAGAGAAAAATGAAAGATAGATGGATAGAGATTGAGATTGAGAAAGAGAGATTGAGGTAATACTGACGATTCTTACTTTGTTACTTGACGAGAGAGAAAGAGAAAGATAAATAATAAAGATGATAAAGGTTAATCAAGAAATGAGAAAAAAAGGAGTTAAAACTTTTAAGGCACAGCTTCAACTGTTATCAAGTGTCCGTCAGCTAAAATTTTTGCAACTTTAAGCTGAGCTTTTTGTTTTCGGCTAAAGACTTGTGGCTCTTTGAGAAAACCGATTGACAATCAACTATTTAGATCAAGTAAATAGTTTGATTGTTTTCTTTTGTTCAATATCACTTATTAATCGTGATAACTAACAAAAAGAAATACCTGAGGACCCGAGAAAATGAGTCTCGTCAAGAAGCCATCATAGTCTTTACTCAAAGAGAAAAAAACAGCTTAAAGTTTACCAAATTTTCAACTGACGGACTCTTAACGTTTTGCCTTAGGAAGGAGGAGGGAGAAGGTGAGACAAGAAAGAGAATAGAACTGCGATTTTAGTTTGATTTTTGTTCGCAAGATGGAGCCACCAGTCGATTTAGAGAAATAAATTAATTGAAATGGTTTCGAGTTTTTTTTTTGATGGAACTTTTTGTGAACAATTTAGATGAATGTGCTTTTTGTTCGTTTTTTTTCTCGATGTTGAACTGTCGTCGAATCAAATTTTGGGGAATCAGAGAGCTTAAGAGGCCGATTAAGGGTTACGAGCGAGGATGAGTTGCTCATAGCAATTTGCCGTTTTCTATTCAATGTGGCACATCTGGTACTGTGATTCGTCGGGTGTCGGGTATTTGGACAGTTTTCGGCTTTACAATCCGCACATATCGGTTTTCCAACACAGAAGCCTCTTCGACTTTCTCTTTGACAATTAGACTTGTTACAAACAGAACAAACTGGGGCAGGAATAGTACACAAATGATTTTGTTCAATAGAAAAGTGTGCACAACAATCAGGGCATTGATCGAGGCCAACATTGTCTGCTATCAGATATTTCTCTTGATCGATTGTCAAACGCCAGTTAATTTCTTCAAAATCCTGCCTTGGATTGTCACAAGTAAAAATTACTCTTTGTAGATCATCCGTGGTCTTTTTAACATTTAAAACTTTTAGTTCCTCCCATTGAAAATCTGGTTCCATCATCAGCCAGAAGGTATTAGATTCTATGCAATCCATTCCAATCATGTCATGATAGACAACATAACTCGGTTTTTCAGTGTCCATTCGCTCCATTCTGAACCTACCATTTGTCCACCAGTTCTGTCTATTTAATGAGGAGAGGAAGTTCTCAAGTTGATCGACAACAATCCATGCTGAAACGTGATCTTCAAACAGCCTGACAGGGTTGTTGGACCAGGTGTGGTAATCATCACATGTTTGAATCAATTGTCCAAGAGACGGGAGAACCGTTCGATTACCATCAACCACAAAGAAACGTAGCTCAATAAGTTGTTGTATTTGCGAGATGAACATTATCCTTTTACCTCTAATACCGGTCCTTTTCCCTATATGCCCATTTTGGTGAAAATTGTCTTCTTCCATTTCAGCACAAGGAAGGGATGATGTAACACAGCCGAGATTGTTTAGTGAGTTAGTAGGTTATAGATAACAGTGATTATTGTTCTCAATAGATAAAGTGAGAGTGAAAGTAGTGTGATAGCAGGAAAAGGGTTATAGATTAATTGAATTGAACTAATGAAAGGAAAAAATTAGTTACAGATGAACTAAATTATAAGTTAGTCTTTGTAGGGGTGAATGATTAATGAGGTGATTTAAGATTCACAGGTTATTTGATTAGGGGTGAGTGAGTCTTAAAGTGGTGACCTCTTTTGTCTTAGAGCCAAATCGATAATCTGATTAGCTTAAGATCTTGTTGATAGTAAATCTCTTTATCTGCAATCAGATCAGTAATCAGATCATTCTCAATCTTTTTGTTGGAAGAATGTTCAAAGTATAGTAAGTGTTTCAGTAGATTTTTCTTCTTAATTTTCTTTAGTAGATTAACAAGTTTATCTGTTTTATATTCAAGCTTCAGTGTCTCACCAATTAGATCGAATGCCAAATAATAGGTCTCCTTGTATTTAACCATCAACTCTTTACATATAACGAGCCTGTCTCTAGCAACTCTTTTTAATACAATGTCCATTCTGTTAGTTTTTGTTGTAACTTTAGTCATCCTGACCAGTGAGACATCCGATTGGGTCCAGCTATTGTAGTAGATAAGTTGTTCTTTAACCACAGACATGGTGGAAGCATTTCTCTTGTCAATATAGAAATAGATAACCGTTTCATCTTCAGCACAAAGCAAAGTCAAGCTGGGATCAAACCAATCCGGCTCAGGGTCAGATAGATAACGCGGTAAGGTGATTGGCGAGTCAGCATCTGTAAACTCAGTGATTAATTTAAGAAATTGTTCATGATTGGGAGGCAGAATTTCTGTACCATTCATGTTAGATATATTGTTTACATCCATCTCACTGAAAGCACTCTGAGCACAAGGAAGCAGCGAGATATAACTTTATTCTTGATTCGCTCACACAGGCTCTCAAGATTTTGTTAGAAAGGAGAGAGGGTTTACTAAGGTCAGTTATTTATTTTAGCACCAATACAAAGAGATTTCAAGAAAACAAGTACAGAGGAAGAAGTGAAATAGTGACACGTAAAAGGAAAAGAGATTATTGTTTACAATTTAATCAGCAAGTGGCTCTACCTATCAGTCAGCACGAGCAGTATACGATAGGAGATTTGTATTTGGGTTTCAAGTGTCTATTTTTCCGCGTTCAGCTGAAGGTGTCGTATAATGACATGAGAATATGAGTGATTCACTCTTAGCAAGGCCATTTTTATTTGTCTACCAAATTCAGGACAGCTTGCACTCCAAGCGTTGTGCCCAATCTTTCCGCCACAGGGTTGACACCGATGTTTGGAGATATCGAACTTGTAAGGACAATCAAAGGAGCGATGAGGCTTACCACAATACGAGCATGACACAAGCATCTGACATTTGGTTGTCTTGTGGCCCCATCGTGAACATTGATAGCAGAGAGAAATGTCTAGATGATCAAAGAAATTTATTTTCCTCCAACCAATGTTGAGCTGACCTCTGAATCTGCTGGTTTCAAGACTTGTTCGTGTATTTGAGTTGATAGTTATCAGTTTGATAATGTTGTTCGATAAGCCATTCCACTTTTCAAGTTTTTCAAGCCACTTCTCCCAGTTCCGATCCTCATCAGGTGTCCTATCAACATCAATCGTAATCATTGGATCAGTTAGTGGTGGTACAGTGAAGTTGAATTCCACTTCCGCTTGTGCACCAGTTGACTTTTCACGAAGCATTACAATCAGTTTTTCTCTAGAATCGGGTGTTCGCACAAAGATCTTACAGCAGCTTCGCGCCGATTCAATCGTTACAATTTCCAGATCCTCTTCAATAGTGTCGATGAGTTGTTTCAGCCTATCCCTGGTTTTGAGACCAACTTCCAGCTTTTCGGCACAGCGAGTCGTGACGAGGATAAGAGGCTGCAGAGCAATATCTTCAACGTTGTACCACCAGGCAGGAACTTTCCATTCATTCTGATAACGTATGTTTATATCTCTCTTATTCTTTCCCTGTTGTTCAATGGAATTGGCTTGATGAGGACCAGCCCGAATACTTACTTTCCTGACAATCGGTGTAGTCAGCAGATTAATAAATCGATTAATCTCTTTTTGTTCAGGATGTTTGTCTTCTTTAACAAGGATGGCCAATAATTCATCAATATCCTCTAAAGATAAGGTCTCTTTGATCAGTTTCATCTGTTCATCAGGATGAGTGTTTTTCACAATATCATTCAGATACGAAAGGACAGCATTGGTATCTGGTGGAGCTGTTTTATCGAAGATTTCACTTTCCTCAGTTATGTTGGTTGTTTCATTAATCTTTCGTGGTCTCTTCGTCGGTGCCATATTTCCAGCAGTACATACGATGACAATGTAATTTTAGTTAAAAAAGAGAAAATAAATTAGTAAGAGGGAAAGGACACGGAAAAAGTTAATTCAAGTTGGGCAATGGGTAGAGTTTCAAAACAAATCTTCAAGTGAGTTTTCTTTCGAGTTGTTTCATTATTTATACTTTATTCTTTATTCATTTTGTCTATTTTCTATTAGAATGGTGTCATAAATCCAGTCGATTCGTTCAAGTTGCCGTGAGAGTTTCCTTTGATATTTAGAGCAATAGTAGTAATAAGCTGAGTGACCCAGTGAGAGGCAGGAGGGACATTTCCATTTATGAGGTTGAGTTTTGATGTCACAGCAGAGATAATGATGTGATCTGCTGCACTTGGCACATTTTATTACACCATTACAATATTTGCTAGTGTGATCGTATGAGAAGCAGATCTCACACCGTTTTATAGCAAAGTAATCCGTGAAGAAAAAGCTTTGATCATAAATTTTAATTGTGTCTTGGATTTTGGATCTGCTTTGGCCAGAGAGTTCAATTACCGCCGTATCCATTAGATTACCTTGACATGTCATAACCAGTCGTGTCTCTGAGTCTAAACAATTTTCTTGTTTGATTACTTCAACCAACCGACCAACGTTCAAACCTTTGTCAATGTAGATCTTTATCATCGGATTACTTAGTTTCGGAATCTTGACGAACCAGTTTGTCCTTTCAAGCACTTGTGTGATTATTGCCTCAGGACAATGCGAGAAAAGTTTTAAGCAGTCATAACCATAAACAATTTTGTCAACCGGCAGCATTGAGAAGAAGCGTTTATATAGGATCTTGGTTCTATAACAGTCCAGCCACACCCTTCCATTCTCATCATTGTCCTTGGTAGGAATTCTTAATACAATTAGTTTGTCTTTGGTAACTTTTGGGGCAGGAACTGATGTTATCTTCACACTCATTGTCATAGCACTAGTAATATTGCATACAATACGATGAACAGGTAAAACAACAAGGTATATTAAGGCACAACTTCAACTGTTATCAAGTGTCCGTCAGCTAAAATTTTTCAACTTTAAGCTGAGCTTTTTGTTTTCGGCTAAAGACTTGTGGCTCTTTGAGAAAACCGATTGACAATCAACTATTTAGATCAAGTAAATAGTTTGATTGTTTTCTTTTGTTCAATATCACTTATTAATCGTGATAACTAACAAAAAGAAATACCTGAGGACCCGAGAAAATGAGTCTCGTCAAGAAGCCATCATAGTCTTTACTCAAAGAGAAAAAAACAGCTTAAAGTTTACCAAATTTTCAACTGACGGACTCTTAACGTTTTGCCTTAGGAAGGAGGAGGGAGAAGGTGAGACAAGAAAGAGAATAGAACTGCGATTTTAGTTTGATTTTTGTTCGCAAGATGGAGCCACCAGTCGATTTAGAGAAATAAATTAATTGAAATGGTTTCGAGTTTTTTTTTTGATGGAACTTTTTGTGAACAATTTAGATGAATGTGCTTTTTGTTCGTTTTTTTTCTCGATGTTGAACTGTCGTCGAATCAAATTTTGGGGAATCAGAGAGCTTAAGAGGCCGATTAAGGGTTACGAGCGTTGGGGGTTCGGTTTATTGGTTGAACGATTTTCTTGTCGAATTGATTGAACTGTGGGATTAAAGGCTCAAGAGACTATGAACTTGCTTCTATTCTAAATTTTAATCTCTTCAATTACACATTTAAAGTTTAGATTTATTTTCTATTAAGATGTGGATATTCAGTTCTTGGCGAAAGTTCTGTTAACTTTTTTCAATTTTCTTTCCAAATCAAACAGTGGCTCCATCTCGTGAGTATGAAACGAACTTCAATTCATCGTAAATTTAATGACCTTTATTGTTTTTGGCTGTTGAATAAAATTCTTAGAATTTGGCGGTTTATTCAAACGATATTTATTCCAATTAAATCAAAAGTTCGTCGAAAGATTTTCTGCCCTTAGAACTTATTCTCAAGCAAATATTGATAATATTACCTTGAATTTCTAATCTAGAGTTTAATATTGATTTTTTTGTGACGATTAATTTAAACACTTTGATTAGATCATTTTAATTGTTGACACAATCATCATTGTGAATACTTTGCAATAAACTAAATTGTTTCACAATCATTTATTATTTGTTGAAGATCAAGGTCTAAGGTTCTATAATAATCATCTAATTGTCAAGATAATGCTTACCAATTCTGATCATTTAGAGAGAGAGAGAGAGAGAGAGAGAGAGAGAGAGAGAGAGAGAGAGAGAGAGAGAAATCAAATCAAAGTTATCGGTAATCAGTACGTTTGATTTGTGATTGGGAAAGTTTTTGACAGATCGGAAACAAATCATTCGGATGAAAATCAATTGTGAGTTGACAGTATATTGTTCAAGTGCCTAATTAACGTAGACAATATAGACTATAAACTTAATTTATATTCAACGAAAATAAACTTAATTGTTGTTTGAACTAATCAAATGAAGCAAAGAAAAAATCACCAACTATTATTTACTCAACTCGATAAAAGGGAAAATGTGAAACTTTGAGAAATGAATAAAACTCAAGCTGATTAACGATAAATTGTCAGGTTGATTCTGATGGTGAATTTCTTATTATATTAGTTGACATTGATAATGAAAGAATTGAATGATGATGAAGATGAAGATGATGAGAAAAAGATAGTTACGAAAATGAAGAAAAAAAAATGAAGAGAAAGTTTTTGTTTTTTTCCAAAGTAAAACATTTGATACAAAGAGAAGATAAAAATTATGAAGATAGAAAAAGTTCTCAATCAACTTGAACACTTTCTTTCCTCATCATTATCATCATTTTATCTTCATGCGCATGTTTCCATGGTTATCAGAATTTCTGATCATCATGCTCCTAATCCAAGTTCATTTTCAATCTCAAATTATCACACAGTCGAGATTGAGAAGTTACAAAGATAATTTCGTTATAAACCTCGTTCGTTGTGTTCATATCTTCAAAAGTATCAACTGATATACTATTTAATTTATCATAAGTATCAAATCATCTTCATCTTCATCATCATAATCATCCTCATCTCTTGATGACAACATGATGATAACAAGAAAACGATATTTCAAATTCATCAGTTTGAATTGAGAAGTGAGAAGAGGAAAAACTTTTTTTTTTCTTTCGCTGGAAACATGAGATGATCATCACCAATTCCAAATGATTAACAATTAATTTTATCCAAAGTGTTACTCAGATATTAATTTAGTTAATTGTTCATTTAAATTGTTGTTGTTACTGTTTTTCTTTTTGTGTTTCTTTGTGTTGGTTAATAGGTAATCATCAAATGGAGATTACATCAATGATCAATTCATCAATGATTCCAATTGTAAGAGATTTCAAAAGTCTCTGTGATCTTGAGGTGGTTACCCAAGTGTCTTCACCTTCAACCCCTTCACCTTTAGCATCTCCATTAGTGTCTATCGCATCATCATTAACAACAACATCCTTTGAGTATATTGATTTGATCACATTTCTAAACAAATCTGACCTTGAAAGCATTTTCGACCTTTGTAATGACACAACATTGGTAACCGATCCATCCTCATCCTTTGCCTCATCAGTTGCCACCTCAATAACTGGTTCATCATCATCAACCTTTTCTTCATACCATTCATCTTCCTCATCATCATCATCTGCCTCTTCATCCTCTTCACCATCATCATCTTCATCCTCTTCTTCCTCATCCTTTGGTACCCGGAAATTTGTACCCGACCTTCCGGTCCAAGTAATTTGGTCCATTGTTTTCGGCTTGATGATTCTTGTCGCTATGGTGGGTAACACAACGGTCATTTGGATTGTAACTGGTCATCGGAAGATGCGAACCGTAACCAATGTTTTCCTACTCAACTTGACCATCGCCGATCTCATAATGGCCACTTTCAATGGCGTTTTCAACTTTGTCTACATGCTACACTCCCATTGGCCTTTCGGTCAAACTTATTGTAAGATAAACAATTTTATCGCCAATGTAACTGTGGCCTCATCCGTTTTCACCATAACTGCAACATCCATCGACAGGTAAGTCACCAAATGACATCTTCTAATTATCACAATTATCAACATGACCGTTACATTGTTTACCTGTCAAGTTTCATCAAACATGATTGTTTCCTATTTTTTTCCCGTCAAACTAATTGATTGGCAATTAGCTTGATAATCAAATTAATTAACAATCTAATCTGATTGTGTATCCATCTTATTGATATTAACAATTTTAAATTGCAATTACAACACTCATCACAATCTCAACATCTCAAAGCTTAATCACTTTCAATTTTGTTTTTTTTTGTATTATTATCAATTTATTGTGTCAATAATTATCTGTCACATTTATGATTGACTTAATTGTGATTAGTTGGATTATTTTATTAAGTATTGAATATGTGAAAGTGTTAATTGTTGATTAATTATGACTACGACACTTGATAATCTTATCAAAGTTTTGATTATGATTATTGTATTTGAAATTGTTATTGATCACTTATCATTTTGACATTGTTATCATTTGATTGCTGTGTAAACAATTTCCGCAACTAATTGTCAGCAATTTATTTCCAATCTTCAATTTAAACGGATCACAATCAACATTATAATCGTAATTGTTGCCATTTAAAAGTTAAATAGTTTTCGCGACTATTAAAGTTAGAAGAAACTTATTTTTCTTCAGTAGAATTTAAGATTTTTTTTTTGGTTCTTCATAATTTCCATTTCTAATCCATGATTATCATGATTTAGACAATAAATTACACTCATTTAGGAATTAAATAATCACTGAATAATTCGTAGCACGTTAAAAGTTGTTGAACTTCACAAATACGATTCTGATTTCTCACAAGAAAAAAGTTCTAAACTCGAGAAAAGGATATAAACTAATTCACATAATAAACATTGAAACGATTGAAATGATTTAAAAAATGAGAAGAAAAGAGAAAAAAATACAAAAACGATAATATAACATAAATTGCATGATAAGTTCTGAATAAAAGAGATTCGAAAATTCTCAGAATTTTTATTCTCTCTCATTTTTTGATATCTCTCTCTCTCTCTCTCTATTCCTGATGATTCAGTTGTCTCTTATCATGATGATGATCATCGCCCTGTTGTTTTTATTCTTGATTGTTCATGGTGTAAAAAAGATATTATCATGATGATAACACCAGAACTTTATTCAGGCTCATGGAGAATGAAAAAAATGAGAAAATAGAAAAAAAGAAGTGAGAAAAACAAAATAATATCTCAAACGTGAGCAAAATGAAATGTTATCTATTGTTAACATACTGAACTTGTCAGAATTGATAATATCACCAATGGTGAGAGTCAGAAAAACGTCATCCTGAATCCGGAATCTATCATGAAACATGATGGCAATGATATTGATTCTTGAAAATATAAACCAAATCCAACGAATATTTTTCATATATTTTTCTTTATCTTCTTTCATCTTCTTTTTTTCACCTTTGATGATAACTTATCATCACAGCATCATGTTGATTTAATGATCAGCATTATGAGTTGTGAGAAAAGTTCAGCAATAATCTTGAAGATTGAAATTGATTTGAACCTCAAAGTTAATCCTCTGGACTCAAAATAATCAATTGATTTACGTTCTGAGTATTAGTTTATGAAACATAAGCTAATTTATTGTATTTCCAACAATGAATATAAAAGCAGGAAATTTTCAGGGGAAAAATCTAATATTATCACTTTTCTTCATGAAATCGTTTAACCTGAATTTCCTATTCAATCAATGAATTCACTTTTTATGTATTCATCACATATTACACATTTACACCTTCTCAACATTTAAATTGTGAACAATATTATTTTTACATCCAAAGTCAATCTTCATGAGAATCTGTTGAACTTTCTGAATATCTCTATGAACTTTTTGAAACTTTTTTTCTCTCCAATTTGAGAGGAAAAAAAGTTCTATCGTCAAGAAATTGAGGTTTCTTCATGAAGATACCAACAGTATCTCTTGATTTTTTTTCTTCTTCTTCTCATGATTTAACTACCTGAGAGTTTATGATGATAATCAATCATTTTCGAATAAAAAATTGTCTTAAATTGCCCGAAGGGCTTTCGTCGAAGGAGAAAAATAAAAAACACTTTCAGTCATCTACATCTTTTTTTGTTCTAATATTTTCTCTCAACATTATCTCACCGTTTTCCCAATGAGCATTTCATGAGCTATTTTCACCACAACTATGAATAACTTTCACACCTTTGGACCTCACCCATCAGTCTACCTGTTTTCAAGTTCACTTCTAGTACAATAATCAATGAATCTTAATTACAGGTTGAGGGATTAATTGATTGATTGTTGTTATTGTTTTCAACTCGTCTACGATCAAGGTTAATCACGAATTTCCAATAGTTAATCTGATTGTTATCATGTTGATTACAATCAAATATAACAAAGTTATCAGATTATCTCTTGTTGAACATTTCTTTCTCTCTCTCTCTCTCTCTTTCTCTTTCTCTCTCAAATCGTTGTCTATCTCATCTATTGATAATATCAATTCATTTACTTTAATCCAAAGCTGGAAACTTTAATTCACTGACCATGAACATGTTAATGATGATAAAGAGTAAAAGTAATTACCATTGCAGTAATTGGCTGAATCATCATGATGACTGTTTTCAAGTTAATTAGTTGATCAATTTGGTTTATTTTACTTGGTTCTTATCCAGAAATATTTGCAAAAATCTGAAAAAAAAGTTCCAACATCTGAAATTGTATGAGAATCAATGAGCAAGGAATAGTGTTAATGATGAACTTGCTAATGATAATGATGACAGAAATTATCTCACAATCAATATATATAAGATGCGAATTGACCTTGAGTTAGTTTTTGACATGATCAATTTTCCTGAACTTCTCTCTATCTAAATCAAGGGTAAAATTGACAAGAAAAAACCGATAATCCAGATTTTCAGAGCATTTCAGAATAACTCAGAGAATTGACTTTCTCTCATTAATATATCCCCTGATATTGAACATTGTATTCAATGAACATAAAGTATCATTATTTCTGGTTAAAATTGAGCTGAATTTTCAATTGAATTTCCAATATCATGATTATCATGGTATTGGAAAAAAAACCTCTGAATAAATTTTCACTCATCTTATCATGAATCAGGAATATCAATATGTTTATATTAGTATATCTAAATTGAGATCAATAGACAGGGGAAAGGTTAATCACTGATTTAAACCCACGCCAATGAACTGAATCAGTTGGATTTTGATTTAATGGTTAATTGTTTGTTTATTATTATTATTATCAAACAACTTACTCTGATTGTTATGAAGATTTTGTATCAATTGATATTTGATTGAAACAAAATTGATCGAAAACCAGTAATCTAATTTAATTTGAACTTTACAAGTTTATCAAAGTGATTCAACTCTAATTTGAATGACGATCAATTGAATGATGAGGGCAATGATGATAAAGGAGGAGTGGGAAAAGGTATAAAATTACATTAAACATGATAATGATAATGATGATTATACAAGTAACTTAATTATCAATCTAATTGGTCATTTCAAATTGAGTGTTACTGTTTTTCAGATAACCAAATAATCAACAAGGTAGGGAAAAAAAGATGATAAGATGATAATGATGATGATGATGAAAAATACCTGATGAATTAACCATCATTTACTTAGATGATGTGATGAAAAAAAGGATGACAATTGTTAACAACAGTCAGAATGATCAGGTGATTTCTTATTTACTTGAATCATGTTTATCCCTCTTTTTATCATCATCATCTTCATGATGATAATGAGCATCATCAGGAGTAAAATGTCACGTTGATTTTTTTTCACTCTTATAAAGTTCAGAGTCAATTCCTATCAGAATCAATAATTGAATATTGATAGTCAGAGAGAAAGAAAGAAAGAAAGAAAGAGAGAGAGAGAGAGAGAGAGAGTGGGGTAAATAAGGGTGGGGCATTTATGTACCTTATTGTTAACCAATTTCATAGTATATAAATTAATTATAACAATGAACATGTCACCCAATTGAATACATTCAATGTCTCTTCATGATTTTTGGGTCTCTTTTTGTTGTTGTTGTTACTTAGCTTCTTATGAGCCATTTCACTTGCCAGAGTAAATATTACATGATAAATATAATAAACTTGCATGATTTTCATGATAATATACATTCACAATTTGACAGAATTGTGAATGCTTCTTGAACACTTTTGCTTCCAGTAACATGCTAAGTGCATGATGTCTATTATAATATCATAGAAAACAAATTGACCTCGTTAGAATAAAATGTTTTCTTTTTTTCATCTTTCTTTCTCTCTGTCTTTTTTGTTCTTCCTTTTCACTTTCCCGGCTATTATATCATCATGAAGATGATATTATCATTGTTGTCGTTGTTGACATTGTTTTCAATTTCCTTACACAGTATATTAGACATTTGAGTTGATTCAGTCACTCACTCACTCAAAATGTGCCATATGGATTCAACTATTTCTGTCACACAGAATCGATTGTAAAATAGCTGCGAAAGAGAGAGAGAGAGAGATGAAGCTCTGAATGGGGAAGATTCCAAAGCAGATTCAGATGAATTCAGGGAATACTTAGTTAAGTCTATTCGACGTGAGCATCCGAAAGTAATATCGTAAACAATTATCAACTCGACTATTGTTTTCTATTCTCATGAGACAGATAATCAGGAAGGAATTTTGGAAATGGAATAAGTAGAAAAAAAACTTTTTTCTCTTCTTTTTCTATTCTATTTTCTCTAACTGTCTTCTAATATTTCATATTGGGTGTATGTTGAGTTCTCTCTCTCTCTCTTCTCTTTCTATTTACTTCCTCTTTCTTGTCATCATGATTTTCAGAACTTTGCAAAGAGAAAAAGTGAAAAAAATCATTCTCACAGATGAAAGAATAGAAAAAAAAACTTTTTTTTTTCGTTCCTCGATGAATGAATATGATCCATGGTGAAAATGTGGAAAATTCTGACAAGGACTTGTGACTCTCGAGTCAA